CCTCAGTATTGAAAAAGATTGATGTTGTCTGTTTCTATTAACTATTGTAACGTGGCTTTTCATTAAACTCATCTAAACATCAAATTCAGCACCTATTTATTTAGCACAGGACTCTTCAGATCAATACAGAGGATGGTACATGCTAAAACCTAACTTAGGAGAGCAGGGACAAGAGGCTGGGAGGCTCAGGAAGTAGATCACTGTCAGCATGGATCAGGGATTCACCTGTTAAGATGGGGCCCGAGATAAGCCTGAGTCTTGCAGCATCAGTTGCTGTCTTAGTTTCATTTTGTGGTCTTCTTATTTTTACTTTATGATAGAGTAGAATCGAAACACATTTTGGGCCCCAGTAGTGTTCAACATCATTATAGCCATCAGTTGTTAATGCTCCAGAGGCATGGGAAATGTAGATGATTAAAATCTGGGTAGCATGAAAATCAGGTTTTTGATAGTATAAGAAAGACTGGATGGCGAAACAGAAATGTTTTATAAGTTTTGCGTTCAAATACAGACTCCCTCTGGAATACTGAATTTGTTTTCTTTCTGAGTACACATCCTCACTGAGCTCTAGAATCAGTTAAACAATGTTCAACTTGTGCAAAAGCACAAGTGTGAGAGAAAAGCCATTGATGGTTTAGGATCATGTGTCCCACAATGGGAATGAACAGCAATGCAGCTGGGGGTTGACCTTGGGACCTGGGTCTTTGAAGTCCTGTCCTCACTCCTGCTCCATTCTGCAGCTTCAGTACCAGGCTCAACCTCATTAGACCATGAGAGGTGACAGGTCAGGGTGGTTACAATGTGATTTGTTCACCCCAGAGATTGTTTTGTGTTATAGGTGACATTCAACGAGATGTCTTGTTCCTGTTAGCATTGGGCCAACCCAGGTTATCTACTATTAGATTGTTTTTAACTTTTCTCTACCAATGCATGATAAGTGAGTATATCCATTCAAGTTAAAGTGGCTCTTTAAAAATGGCAAAGCCTCCCGACTTTCCAGTTTTCTTTTTAGTTACTTCCCTACTATAATTACAATCAGGAATCCACAAGAACACCAGTGATGTGTTCGCAGTGAATTTCTGATTGATGTTGTACAGGGCTTTCAGAACATTGTATCATAAAGTGATTATCAACACAAAATGGTAACTGGGACCAATCTTAACGAGTAGATTTTGAAGCACTGTTACAAGTTTAATTTTGCCATTGTCTTGCAGTGGCTAAGAAATCTTATAATACACCTGCTTTTTAAAAGGCAGTACATGGGCTGGTGAGATGGCTTAGTGAGTAAGGTGCTTGTCAATCCTAGAAACCTAATTGGATCCCCTGGATAACCTCCTCCTGTGCACAGTGGCATGTGTGTGGCTGTACAAACATATATACACACACACACACACACACACAAACATAGACACACACACATACACACACACAAAATAAATGTAATAAAAATGTGAAAGATAGTTAGAACTTCATTTGGAATTGGAAATAGGATTTGGTCTCCAAGCATTTTCTTAGCTGTTTGCTATCTGCCACATTACAACTTTCCAACCCTTGGGATCTGTATGATGTAATGAATTTGAAAGTTCTGTTGTACTCTTAGGATGTTAAAGAATATTTGGCATCAAGAATCAAAATTCTGGGGCTAGGGAGGCAACTCAGTCGGTCCAGTGCTTACCTAGCTTGCACTAAGCCATCCATTGATCCCCAGGACTGAATAAACCAGAAAGTGACTCAGGCTTGACCAAGCCAGCAATAGAGGTAAGAAAGGAGGTCAGAAGCTCGGGTTGTCCTCGGGTACATAGAAAGTCCCAGATCAGCCTGGAAAAGACAAAAAATCAAGGTTTTAAAAAGATTTCATTATTTTTATTTTATGTGTATGAGTGTTTTGCCTGCATGTATGTAAGTGCACCCTATGCATACAATGCCCCCATAGGCCAGAATAGGGCATCAGATCCCCTGGAACTGGAGTTAAAGACAGTTGTTAGCTACCATGTGGGTGCTGGGAACCTGGATCCTCTGGAAGAACAGCATCTGTTCTCAACCACTGAGCCATCTCTTCAACCCAAAGAATCAGAGCTTACAAAGAGGAAGGACATTTGAGAAATTATCTGTACTCTTCCTTATTTCTAAAAGAAGGAAACAGATGCCTAGTGATGCGTGCCCAAGGTCACGTTTCCAGGAAATGACAATCCTGGCTTTACAACCTACATGTTTCTCTAACACAGCATTTTTTTTATCATGCCAAATTGCTCTGAGTTCTGCTTTTGAGCTTTTGTGAGGTTTAACATATGTCAGTGTTGGGGCTAGAGAGATGGCTCAGCGGTTAAGAGCACTAAGTGCTCTTGCAGAGGTCCCAGGTTTGATTCCCAGCACCCACATGGAGGCTACGAACCGTCCTTAACTCCAGTCCCAGGGGAATCCAAAGCCCTCTTCTAACCTCCGTGGCATTGCATGACATGAGTGCACTCACATACATGTAGGCAGTACACTCGTACACATAAAATAAAAATAAATAAAATTAAAAAAAAACATATTGCTGTTTCAAATTTCGAATAGGGTATTTGTCAGATTTAAAAGGACTATTATTAAAACATAATACCCACCCTAGAGTTGAGAATAAAAAGTATTTTATTAATTGAACATCCTACAGATAGCGTGTCCTAATTACCCTTGACAGTAAACAAGGGCTGAGCCAGCAAAATGGCTTAGCAGGTAAAGGTGCTTGCTGCCGCGCCCAAAAACTTGAGTTCAGTCCCCAGTATCCACATGGTGGAAGGAGGAAAGAGAGGGCTGACTCCCACAGGTTATTTTCTGACCTCTGCACACACTCCAGGGCATGTGCATGCATGAGTGCGTGCGCGCACACACACACACACACACACACACACACACACACACATTCAATCAATCAATATTTTTTTAATTTAACAGTAAGTAGCTATAGCAAAATGTTAAAGTGGAAGTCTTCATTTTTTGTGCAGAATGGTTTGGTCAAGGAAGCAGAAACTATGTTATTTATGTTATGAGAGAGAATTTAATACAAGAAAATAGTAAAACAGTGCAGGCCTGGAAAAACAAAGGAGGGTCAAGTGAGGTAGGAAGCAGCTCTTGCTGTGGAAGGGAACAAAGAGGAGAGCCTGAATTATGACTTATGCTTTGGACCCCAGAGGGGCCCTGTGGAGCTGGGGCTCAGCTCTCTTCCCAGGAGGCTGATGCTGGTCGTTGAGACCTGGGGCAAATGCTTCTAGCCCGGATCCACATCTTAGGAACGGCCTTTGCTTACCTGCTGTGATGTCTCTTGGGGTACAAAAGAGCTGACTCTGGGAGTGCTAACTGCTCCTGAAAACAAATGCTGCTGCTTGGAAGGGCTGTTGCTAGGCAATTCTGGCAGGAACCAGAGGCTAATAGAAAGGAACTGGTCCCTTCTATGACTCTTGCCCTCTAGGTTTCCAGTGATATGCCCTGTTGGTGTTCCTTGTTGGCAGAGTCACTTGGCAAAGAAGAAATGTTTGTAGAGTCATGCCCTACCAACACAAAGTAGTGGGTAGATGGGAGAGTTTGGAGAGGAAAGACAATAATTAGATAGCAAGCATAGTCTTAAATATGTTAGGTAGTCATTGCTCCCATGCTGAGGCAGACTGATACACTACCTAAGCAGGGCGTGCAAAAGAAGCTGAAATTTTTGTTTTTATTGTGGTTTTTAAAAACCACAAAATTGGGGCTGGGAAAATGGCTTAGTGGTTATGAGCACTGGCTATTTCAGAGGACCAGGGTTAGGCTCCCAGCACCACAGGGCAGCTAAAAACTGTCTGTAACTCTGGTTCTAGGGATCCAACACCTTCTGGCCACTGACATTTCATACATGTGATGCATTTACATACATGCAGGCAAAACACTCATATACATAAAAAATAAATGTAAATAAGTAATCCCCCACAAAAGTTTAAACAGAAAATTTACCATTCTAACCATTTCTAAATACAGTACATTTACGTAATTGCACAACCATCACCTCCATCCATTTCCAGAAAATTCCAGACCATTAAATAAGAACTTCTCCTACCCTTTCTCAGGGTTCCTGGAAACCATCATCCTACTTTCTGTCTTCATAAGTTTGTCTGCTTTAGGAACCTCTTGTGAATGAAATCATACAGTGTTTGTCCTTGTGAGTGGCCTGGCCTATCACAGCATCTTCCAGCTGTGCCCATGTTGTTGTACATATCATGACTTACTTACTTTTAAAGATGGTTTTATAGCCCTTAGCCTACCCAACATCCATGTTGAAGGACTGAGATGCCATGCAGAAAGGAAGCATTTAGGAAGATGATGTCATTACTTTTCTCACTGCTGTGATGAAATATCTGACAAAAGCATCTTAAGGAAGGAGGGTATATTTTGGTCTACAGTTCCAGTGCAGTCTGTCATGGAGGTGAAGTCATGATAACAGGAGCTGGTCACATTGCATCCGCAGTCAGGAAGCAAAGGGAGATGAATGCTCGGCTAGCTTTCTCTTTTATGCAGCCCAGGACTCCAGCATGTGGAATGATGCCATCCATAGTGGATGAGACCTCCCACCTCCATCAACCTAGTCTAGGTAATCCCTCTCAGGCGTGCTCATGGCTAAATGATTCTAGATACCATCAAGTTGATAATCTAGATTAATCAGCACCAGAGAATTTCGGTATGCAGTGAACACCCTCTGCTTAGCAATACACACATGGCATCTTGGGAGAGGAGAAGGAGGCTTTTGTTCTTGTCCTTAAAGCCAAGTGGCAGGGCCTTCAGGAATATCACACAGGAAGTTTAGAGGGCACAGTGGCCTGCATTTAGCCTCAAACCTGGACTATCCAGAAGTTGTTAGAAGCCCTCCACCCCAGCCCTGGTATCAGAGAGGGATATTGTTTGGGTAGTACCCACACCATCACTAAAGAGGGTGTGTGTTTTACTTGAACCAGATGTGGGTCATGCAAGACAGAAGATGTTACTTATGATCTTTTCAGGTGGAGAGGTGAGGAGGTCATGGATAACAAACGCAGGAGGTGTAGAGCAGTGACCAGCTGCTGAGGGAACTGTTGCAAATGACGGGTCATCCATGGCAGGACCCTTCAGGTAAGAGGTCTTCAGTGACAATAAAGAACCTTTAGAACTTTCCATAAAGGCCACAGAAACACCCTGTGAAGTGAAGAGCAGTCTTCATCCCCACCATGCCTAGAGATCATGAGTGTCAGCCCTCACCATCCCATTTACAGATTTTTCTGACTCCTCTGTGTCTCATTTCCAACTCTTCTCCTTCAACTGTTAAAGCCTTGGAAGGTTCCAGAAGCAAGCTGATGCTATGCTGAGGGGCACCAAGAGAAGAGACCACCGTGCTCCACCTTACCACAGGCTTCCTGAATGCCATAGGCCTGTGGTCTCATAAGGGCATTGTTCATTTTAAAAGAGATATTGAGATGTAGTTTATACTAATGGGACGGATCCAGTAGTGAGAGGAAAACTGAGGGTAGAAGAGAGGAAAGGAAGCAGGAAGGAAGCGGTTCATTGCCAGAACATAAGATGCAGCATAGATCAGGGATCTTCATCCCTCTGACAGGAGAAAGGAGATACAAAAGTAGTACAGACAGATTAGTTGGGTGACTGGCATGAGTCTGCAAGAATTGCATGTTCCACACCCGTGAGCAACATATCTGACATATCTGGATTTTTGCATATATGTAGACCTTGGGATAAAATTTAGTACTTATCAATTGCCTCTTTCTTTTTAAAGTAATGTCTGAGAAAATTGCTTCTGAATGGATGCTTCTAGCTCTTGGGAACATTCTCTACCATCTAGGATTCTTCCAGTTTTACCTCTGGGTGCACAGTTGTCCCTCTAAGCATGCAGGAAAGTCATCACAGATCTGGGGACAGTGAAAATTGGAGGAAACATGAATGCTCTGAGTTGTTTCCCTCTTATAAGCAACTCGTTCTGGTGTGGGAACAGGGGGGCCTGTAAGCGAATAAGGGCTATGTTCATCCAGGTAGCGAAAGAGGTGTTACATCTTGAAATTCTCAGGTCCAGTTTTTCTCCTGAATGCTTAGAACCTTGTCCTAGTTTGTTTCTTCATTGCTGCAACAAAATACTCTAACCAATACCAACTTGGGGAGGAAAGGGTTTATTTAGCTTACATCTCCCGGGTCACAATTCATCAGGATCCCAAGGTAGGAACTCAGGGCAGGAACCTGGAGGCAGGAGCTGGAGCACAGGCCATGGAGGATCACTGCTTACTGACTTGCTCCCCTGGCCCCTGCTCAGCCTGCTCTCTTATCCAACACAGGCCCACCTGCCCAGGGGTGGCACCACCCACAGTGGGCTGGGCTCTTCCACATCACTCAACAATCAAGAAGGTGCCCCATGGACATGGCCACAGGCCAGTCTAATGAAAGCAATTCCCCAGTTGAGGCTCCCTCAACCCAGGTGTGTCAAGTTGACACTAAAGCTACATGAGGTTCATATAAGCTACTTGGTAGCTGTGAGTTCAAGTACTTTTTGACCTATAGGTTCAAACTAGGAGTTTATTGTTCAGTTCCAAAACCCTGTGCAACTTCAACAGATAAGATAACCAAGCTTATGCCTTCAGTGAAGACCTTAGAGTTTGATTCTGTTTTCTTACGCTGTTTGAATGCATTACCACCTCCTTAATTCCTTGAGTCCTTCATACTCTTGCTTGATGAGAGACGCTCTGACCCTGGAGCCTTACTCCATGTTGGACACCTAATTCCTCCAACCACAGACAGTTAAGTTAGCTTTTAGCCGCTATACACTGCCAATTGTCAGCTTTCCTTTCTAGGATATTAATGATGCTTTTCAAAATGTTCAGATTTCTGAGTGGATTGGCAAGCAACTGTCAGTACTGAAAGTCAGTTAAAAAGAGCTGGGGAGATGGCTCAGGCCATAAAGGTGATAGCCACACAATACTGACAGCTCAAGTCAGATCTCCAGAACCCATGTAAAAAGCCAGATACGGTGGCACGCATCTGTACTCCTAACACCCCTATGTAGCACGCATCTGTACTCCTAACACCCCTATGGCAAATTGGGAGGCAGAGACAAAAGAATTGCCTGGATGCTCGCAGCTCATCGAGCCTGGAGTATGAGCCCAGTAACAGAAACAAGACAGACCCTGCCTCAACAATGTGGAAGGTAAGGACTGATTCCTTAAAAGAAGCCCTCTGCTCTCCATGGGTACCATGGTAGCTGTTCTCCTCTCTCTCACTCTCTCTCTCTCTCTCTCTCTCTCTCTCTCTCTCTCTCTCTCACACACACACACACACACAATGAATAAATTTAACAATTAATTTTAAATTAGTCAAAATGATAAGCTAAGTATAGTTGCTCAGGCTTGTATTCCGAGTGGAGGCAGGAGGATCAGAAGTTCAAGTCCATCCTTAGCAATATAGAGAGTTTAAGGCCAGGCTGAAATGAGACCCATCTCAAAAAAAAAAAAAAAAATTAGTCAAAATGTTGAATTGCAAGCAACAGAAATTAATTCACCACATTTTAAGCAGAGAAGAAAATTTTCTACCGTATGTTGGGATTTCAAGATAACCTAGGCTAGAAAACGAGTCCGGGATAAGATGGTCTGAAAAGAACAAGGGCCCCCTTTTTTTTTTCCAGGAGTCATCTGGCTAGGACACCACCTGCTGCAGGTGGCTACACAGACACCATGCAGTGGGGGCTACTGGAGGCCATCTTCATTGGCTACTTTGTTTTTGCATGTCTTGTCTTAGATTCAGAGTCCAGCATATGAATCCTTGAATGACTGAATCTAGGTGCCATGATCAGGCCACAAACTGGGTGGCCTTTCTCACAGCACTGAAGGCCAGGCATCCTAAATCAATCTATCAGCAAGGCAACACTTGTCTTTGGATGTAGGACTCACTTGGATAACCAGGATGATCTTGTCTTGACGTCCTTAAGTATATCTGCAAACCCATTTTTCCACATATGCCAGTTCTCACAGGTTCCAGTGATATATGGTCAGTTATAATCATGCCATGGACCTATCTTTTGGAGGAACCACTGTTGAACCCACTAAACCATCTCATCAGGGGGCAGAGAGTGGCAAAATCTCCCTGCTTCATTGTCTACAGAGAAAGACATAGTTCTGTATCTCACCCGTTCTGCACACTATGGGACTGTCCCAATAGAAAATACAGTTAGATATTAGATAACCAACGGATACTATGATGGCTAATCCTGGGTGTCAACTTGACTGGATCTGGATTAACTGAAATGAGAACGAGACCTTCTTGATTGGATCATTTGAAGCTGGAAGGCCCACCCTAAATATGGGTGTTACCTTCTGATGGCAGCTGGTATAAAAGGCCATGGCAGGAGGGAGCGCTTGCTTTTTGCCGCTTGCCTTCTCTCTCACTGGTGAGCTCATCTTGGTTCTGTGACCAACTTCTTGGGGTTCCAGCACAGACTGAAGACTAGCAGATCTCCAGGAGTCCATCAGGTCTTCGGTGCCAGATTGGGACTGCTGAGACATCCTGCCTCGTGGACTGAGCAATATATCTGTAACAAAGCATTGTGCAGAGTATCAGGGATGTATCCAACCTGGGGATATTCTCGATAGAGAATGTGCCACATGTTGCGCCTCAGTTTTGTTCTTCGGTGTCTAGAGGAGAAAGGAAATTGCAGAGAAGCAGCAGACAAACAAAAAGAATAAAGGCATTAACTGTCCAAAGTATTCTGAGAATTGCAAGCGAAGTGCCATGAGATTGGCAGTTTGTGTTAGGATGTGCTGAGTCTTTTTTCTTTTGTCTCTACCAGAATTCTCCATGAAAGAAGCAACAAACTGATTACATTCTGGTCTAAAGTTCTTATCTCACTGAAACAAAGAGCTTTGGCTTCCTGCTGCCCAGAGCACTGGCAGAGTTAAGGAGTGAGTGGAAGGCTAGTCCCTGAGAGAGACTGCCAGGGTCCAGACTGGGCTTAGCGCTTGGGAGCCCTTCTGTGGCATGCTGAAGTACTGGGGCTTTCTTCTTAGTGCTGGACAGTGCAAGACCACCAGGGTGAGTCTCGTGGGGCACAGAGCTATGGAGGCAAGGTGTCTGGGATTAGGAGACCGTTGTAGTTTTCCAAAAGTCAGTTATTTATGCTAAGGTTGGTTTGTCACGTTTTCATCATTCCATAGCTAGATGAAAACATTAAAGATGTTTTAATTACTTTTTCATAAAGCTCAACTTTATTCAATTTTAAAGGACTCTCCTGTAGTTTAGAACTATGACCTCCCTTGCCAGGCTACGCCTTTAATCCCAGCACTCTAGAGGCAGAGGCAGGTGGATCTCTGTGAGTTCCAGGCAAGCTGGGGTTACAGGGAGACCCTGTCTCAAAAAGACTAAAAAATAAAAAAATTAAAAATTAAAAAAAATTTTTTTTAACTATGACTGCCCAACTTTTGTGGAAATAAAGACTGTCCATCCCTTCATCTATGCAGTTATGGTGATAATTGATTAACTCTAAAATTTCTATGTGTATTGTACCTGTTTATCATCTATGCTCTTCCTCCCTCCTTCCATCCCTCTCCCCTCCCTCCCTTCCTCTCTTCCTCCTTCCCTCCCTCCCTCTCTCCCTATGTCCTAGATTTCATTGAAAAATCAGCTGTTCCTTCTGATCCTACAAACATCCCTTTGAGATTTTCCTGGACTGTAAAATCCATAAGAGAAGGTGATGTCTGGGCCAGGTGAGGGCATAATCTTAGACTGAGGAAGTAGAAAGGACATGGGGAGACTCCGGAGGGGGACAAACTAGGGGAGGAGCCCATGAGATGGGATCCTGACAGATTGTCTACACTGTTTACACAGGGACTCTTCCTAAGACGCAAGTACTATCATCAAACTTTATTTTTTTCAGTAATACCCCTGGAGTGTCTGTTTGGGGATCATTTATATTACAAATATTTTTTATGAAAGATGCTAACACATAATTCATTCTCATATTTCCCCCTTAAGTCAACTCTGGAAAATTCATTTGTAGAGTCATGGTTTTATAGTTAAGCACTGGGAACTTCATTTAGAATTTTTTTTCTGAACAGTTCACCAATAAGATGACTCTGGGGCTTGGC